GTCTGATCCGTTTTAAGGGCATATAACTCCTAAGGGTGCGTTTTAGGGCACGTGTTAATAGGAACTTTTTGGCTTATTTTAATGAGTTATAAACGCAGCAGAAGTTTGGAACCCTATTTTAGAAACACCCTGTATATACAGAGGCTTCTTTTGACCTTTAGAAACATGTATCAATAGTTTTTTTCTAATTTTTTCGTGAAGACATAGTTTTTTAACCTTTTTTGTTAGTAATTTTCATACCCCGCCGCTGAATCCCAAATAACGGCGCGCTTTACTCTCAGCGCATGCACAATTGAAAACTGGGCTGTGCATTGTTGTCAAATCCTCATATTTAAAGAAAAAATAATGAAGATTTAATTCTTTTAAGTAACCTAAACTATGAAACAGTACTTAACAAGTAATTAGCGGAAAACTCGAGCAGTAATCAATAACGATAAATGAAATACATAAAAATAAATAATCTGTTTACTCATTTGATTTTTATAACATAACACTTGAAATTTTGTGGCTAATCTTCGAGTACTGGTACCAGGATCCTCTTCCACGGCGTTTAAAATGTCTGGTTGCTAATTTCACATTTTTTGAGTTTGTTCCTTTCCAACATTAGAGTATTGGCATTCAAAGCTCACATAATCCCTTAAATGTTGTAACCTGCCTTTAACTGAGTTCGTTTGTAATTTAATGACAACTTAGATGTATTGTTTCCAAAAGCCAGACAACCACCGACTCATTTCGCTTCGTCACCCTTGACCAGCACTATCTCCCTATTCTAACCACGTGCACTGTTAGTTGCCAACACACATTTTTTACGTTGTACATATCCACAAATATACAAATATATTAATGTTACAGGGTGGACGAGCTACAATGTTGAACGAATCTGGGAAACATTTTCTTACTCGGTACTTATAAGTCGGCGTCATCTATCTGATATCGTCTTCTTTGCTCCTGGTGACTTTAAAATGACACACCGCTGAATTATACAAAGGCTATCTGTTTTACCAAATTATTTTTCATTGTCACTTCTCACAATGTAGGTTGATTTAAAAACAATTGGCAACGTTGATGGTGTAAACATGCAAATTCCGGGTGCCCCAAGACACAAGAATAAAAATACATTTAAAAAACTAATTATAACTCGACTNGACGAGCTACAATGTTGAACGAATCTGGGAAACATTTTCTTACTCGGTACTTATAAGTCGGCGTCATCTATCTGATATCGTCTTCTTTGCTCCTGGTGACTTTAAAATGACACACCGCTGAATTATACAAAGGCTATCTGTTTTACCAAATTATTTTTCATTGTCACTTCTCACAATGTAGGTTGATTTAAAAACAATTGGCAACGTTGATGGTGTAAACATGCAAATTCCGGGTGCCCCAAGACACAAGAATAAAAATACATTTAAAAAACTAATTATAACTCGACTCGATTAATTTGATTGAAAAAGAAAAGAATTTCAGATTCGTATTCAGGAGAATACGTACTATTACCCTTAAAAAAATGTTGGATATGACCATTTTGTGAAATAAAGGTTTTCTTTTGTCACCACATTGCAGATATTTTTTTTAATACTTAAATCTCATTCTTGTAATTTGTTTCTTACAAAATTATTCACAACCAGAATGATACTGCGCACAACACTTAACACGTCTGCATATGTGACAGAACTGCAGCATAATATTGATTGCGAAAATCATTTTTAGATTCGATTACATTTGTGATTGTTTTTCAACCAAAAAAATAAAGTAATTTTTTATTATTAGCCTACAAACATTTATTAACCCCATGATTCAGTGACAGATATAATTTTTTCAGTTCTCTTAAGTTCTGAACGAATTTGTAAAAAAAGCTACGAAAATACATGATGCGTTTCGATAGATTAAATTATGTAAATCATCGTTCTTTAGTAATATTTATTTTCTGACAGAGTTAAAAGAAAAAAAAAACATATATCCGGAACTTTTTTCTCCTAAAAGAAATGTTTCTCGTTCTGCTCCGAATGTATTTGATTTATAGCTTTTACCCCGAAGTTCCAGATCGATATCTTTTCTCGACCAGAAAAATGGTTATTTGAAACGAAGTTGAATTTTTCCTTAAGGGCAGTGCGATTTATATTTTATATATTAAACAAGAAAGGGTTGATAGAACGATATTTTAGTTTAAAAATTAATTCGACTGCCGTATTGGAAAGTACGATTTTATCGTACCCAATTGAGGAGAAAAAATTGTACTGTAAGGTAAACGAAAAGTAAATATTTTAATAACTCTTTAGCAAAAGAGACATATACAGGGTGATTCAGTCATAATGTCATTAATTTTAACCACGTATTCGGAACGCCTAATAAAGACAGAAAATCGAAAAAAAATTACTCGACCTTTTAAAAAATAAGCAAATGATCCCCTTAACTTCCCTTAACGCGGCGCCCTACTTTTTTTTTTAAATTTCCCGCCGCGTGACGTGCTTGAAAATCACCATCCCAAGATGTTAATTAGGTATGAAAATATTTCCCCTACGTTCTTTCTTATATGTGGAGGAAGGGGAGGCTTACTATTATTTCAAATCGATCCCGTTATACTCGCCTCGAGATCCAGTTTTACCGCCCCATTAGACTAAAATCGTCCAACTCGGGATGATGCGGCGCATTCAGAGGGCTGCAATGTATTCTAAACGTTAAATTTAACACGGCGGCGTCCGCACAAAAACGTTTATCAGTCCCCGCAACGCGATAACGCCGCACAACGCCAGAAAGGAAAGTTTGTGCAACGGTCCCCGGTACGTCACGAGTCCCCGAGCTAATTCCCTATTTGCCGCGATTGAAACGCTGATAATTTTAATGAAATTTGATACGAGCCACATATCGGGCCTCCTGCCAACTCCGAATCCCAGGTGGAATCGTAAAGTTACGTTAATATTTCTGTTCGGGACGCTAGATCGTAAATAGGCTGTTTGTTTCAATTTTTTTTGTTGCAGATTTAACCTAGATTTAAAGCGGTTTAATGGTAAATTAGAAATATGTCAAAGAGCATATATTGGTCAAGAAATGCTTTGAACTCTCATGATATTAGCTTTCCTCTAATTTATATTCTACAGGATTTAGTATAGAGATATAAGAGAATTGTATTCAGTAGAGTACACACTACATTAAAAGTCACCGCCACTCTTTTTAATTGGTGCGACCACACGGAATATAACACACAGCGAGCATAGCTAATATACATAGCGTTATATCTACATATATGGTTGTAATGCTGGCTGTTTTAACGACTCAAGCGAACATAGCGCTTTGTGCGATCCTAGCATTAATAGTAGCTATTTTAAAATGTAACAAGTAAATATAATGTTCTGTATGACGTAATACAATTCTAACTACATCTAATGCATATGTAGCTAATAGAAAACGTAGCTTTCTGTGGGGTCTTCTGAACTTCTATAGCAAACATAGTGTCTTCTGTGAGCTTGACATAAAACATTGGAAAATATTTTTTATACCCATAGCAAACATAGTAAATATGTCTAGCATAGCGCTCTATGTGGTTGAAATGCTGCCTGTTTTAACGACTGAAGCGAACATAGCGTTAGTGTGGTCTTAGTATAAATATAGTTAACGTGTATAACGAGATATAACTACTATAATGCTCTCTGTGGCTTAACATAATACAGAAGGTGATTAGTTTTAGCACCTTAATTAAAAGTCTATAGCAGACCTAGTGAAAATTAGTTAGAATAACGTTCTTGTCGCCTTGGCAAAAAACTATCGGACATTTTTAATACATATAGCGAGGGTAACAGCATAGCACTTTGCGTGGTCGAAATATTGGCTGTTCTAATGTCTGTAACAAACTTAACGAACATAGCGCTCCTTGTGGTCTCAGCATGAACATGGTAGCTGCTTTTAAGACGCTTTTTTTAGAGCGTAACAGACACAGCTAGCATATACGGTCGGAGTGCTGACTGTTTCAACAACTGAAGCGAACATAGCGTTTCACGTGCATAAACAGTAGCACACAGCGAGCAAAGCATTTAGGTTAGCGCTGTGGGATTGGCATAAAACAGTGATAGCTATTTCCAATACACATAGCGAACATAGCATTCTCTGTGATTGGTACTGGCTATTTTAACTGTATCGAACATAGTACACAGTGGTAGCTATCTTAAAAACATTCCGAACGTAGTTAAAGCTTGCATAGCGCTTTAATATTGGCTGTATGCGTAGCAAACATAGCTAGCATGGCGGTGTATATGATAGAAATGCAGGCTGTTTTAATAACTAAAGCGAACATAGCTTACGTGTGAATTTCAGACACATAGCAAGTAGTAGTACATAGTAAGTAGTAAAACAATAGTGGCTATTTTTAATACTCATAACACGCACTGGAAGCTGTATTGAAGACAAATCGCGAGCATAGGAAACACAGCTGATATAACGCTTTGAGTAATAGTATAGTGGTTGTACTAATAGCGAACTTAGCGAACATAGCATTGTGTTTACGTTCACACAATGCTTAAAGTTTATAACGAACATAGTAAAAACCTAGAGCCCTGTGTATTTTCTGTTTTAACCCTTTGTTCCCTAGTGGTTTCACTATAAAACCACAGACACAAGAATTTTTCGCTACGTTTCCAGTGGTATTTGATTGAAACCAACACAAAGACATAACGTATAGAGGCTCCCCCTACTTAAACTTTACCGCGCTTCGCCATTTTAATTTACGTATTAGTCGGTAATAACACCTGTTGTAGAGCGGTCGGTTAGTGCCAAAGACTATACGCAAATCCTGTGATTTTTACATTATTTCGCTATGGCAAGTAAGTTTTTTTGTTTTTACAATGTTGATAACATTTGTATTTATGATAAAGGCACCTTATTATCAATAATTTTTAAATTGCAGTAACTATATTCATGATATACGGTGCCGGTTTCATGCTGAAACCACTAGGAAACTATTTATTATTTCAGGAAAAAAAGTGTATTCATACAGAGAGCTAGAGAATATGTCGGCAGACAATTTATTTACACTATTGGAGACTATTCCTTCAGATGGCGAGTCAGAGGAGCCGAGTAGTGACGAAGATGAGACAATGCACGATGACAATTTGTTTGACATATCGAATTTGCCAATAATATTTGTAGACGACCAGCCAGACCAGCTTCCAAGAGCCGACAATACAGAGAATATTACTGATGACGAGGAAGATTATATTCCCCTTTCTCTTTTGAGAGATAGGGAACTAGCCAAAAAGACAATCTGGACCAAGTCAGCGGAGTATTGCATTACCAATATCAAGGAGTTTACGGAGGAAACTGGTCCTAAAGTTCCAGATGGTCTGGAGAGGCCAGTTGATTTTTTTTTACACTTGTTTCCCAAAACTTTAATTGACAAAATCGTGTTTGAAACGAATCTATATGCCTTACAAAAACGTGGTGGAGACTCTACATTTACACCATCTTCTGCCAAAGAGATCGAAATTTTCATTGGAATAAATATCTTGATGGGAATTAAAAAGTTGCCCAGTTATTGTGATTACTGGTCGTCTAGGGAACAACTACGAGATCACTACATAGGTTCAGCAATGTCTAGAGATAGGTTTGCTTGGCTTCTGGGAAATGTGCATTTAGCAGACAATTCAGTGATGCCTGCTCGTGACTCACCAAACTATGACAAGTTGTACAAAGTTCGCTTTTTATTGGATA